TTGTCGCATGATTATGATAGATCGACATCATGATACCAGTTTTGTAAAATATATCTATCCATTGTAAATGCTCTTCATGCATGCTAGGCAACAGACTCCTTGGAAGCTGTTGAAGAGAGCTGAGAACTTGGAGCTGGACTGGCCAACGAACTTGGCGCACGCTTTTCCCAGTTGTCCGTGTCCACGCCAAAAGTCTTCAGCAGCTGCAGCAGCGTTGCATCCTCATGACAAGCTTGTATTGGATGGCAGTATTGTAAACATTGGATTTATTTTGCCTAGTATACATGCAGCATGTTAAGTTAAATAGATATATGCTCACATGCATGCATTTGCAACAAGGCACTGTTGGAGACGAATCCTTGTATGTGAGCTGCTTCAGCACCCCGAAGAGATATCGGATAGTCCATGCCTGATCCTTGATTTCTTTCTTGGACATAAAGCTCCCATTGTCCTCGTGCAACTGCTTCACTTGAGCTACCAAAGCATCTATGCAAGGAATCCCAGACACGAACCCTTTGTCGAGCATCATCTTGGCCTTACATGTGAGGAGCGCGGCCGCCCAAAACTATTATCGCATCAAAAAAAACTAACGCACAGTATAAGAAAAGCTTTAACCAAGGCACCAGTGGCTCAATCACGAAGCTGTTGTACTTCAGATTGGCCACCGTTTTGCCCACATCTCCACCAGCTGGCTTTTCATCATCTGCAGGCTTCTCCAAGCACATCTGGCAAAACTCCCGGATCCTGAACCGGACTTGCGCACAGCTATCCCACGCAGCTGACAAGCCATCAAGATTGGTGCACACCCCTGCTGCCATGATATGCTCAGATCTGCTCTGCAGTTCAAACCTTGCTTAGACCAAAACGTGAGCCTCAAGCATGAATATTATAGATCTTATGAATTATAGTCCTTTATAAAAACGATTTACACTATCATATAATGTTGCACATCAACATGAATCTATAAAATATATATGTTCATCCCACATGTCAGCCACATACTACACTAGCTCCCATATGCTTAAAACATGCCAGCCACACACCACAGGGAGCTGCCACCACAGGGAGCTGCCACCGCTCTCAGCTCGAGCCCAAACTGTCCATTCCTGCAAACCTTGTAACATATGTTTCAAGTATAATCAATCAAGCATGGTATCTATCATGCATGATTATGTTCAATATATCATGAATCAAACTTATTACTTGCAATCCGTTCATGCATGAATGGTATTATGATCAATTACACTATATGATGAAGCATGTATACTGCAATGCATGTTATGACTTAAGTTATGTTAATGTTATTTATGCAGTTACGCAATACATACCCCAGTTACGCAATACATACTCAAGATAAAATTTCAACACCAAAAGCAAACATCAACATTTTTCAAAAAAATGTACTTTTTCGGGTTGTTACGGCTTAGCTGGTATATATATGCATGGCAATATGATTGGGGTACGAACGTACCTCAACGCACTCATGGGTCGGCTTTCTCTCCGGTTTTCCACGCATGTTTCTCTCATCTTGACCAGCTGCCCGCTACCTTGTGCAGACTGACTTGGAAGTTCTTGTAACCTCTCTCGTCACCACACATTCCTTTTGCCGGCTTTCTTTATTCGGCCGCAACTTGTAACCCAACCCAAACGCCTGTGCGACCGTGCGGCAGGTGTCACTTACAGCGACTCCACTCTGAATTTCACCTTGTTGGAACGCCGACTGGGATGAGCCGTTGGACCTTGGGCGTTACCGAACCAACCTCCGTGAAGGAAAGACTTGAATGGGGGAATGCATGGAAATACGGGGTAGGAGACTTCTTGACTGACTGAGTGCCTATAGCTGAAGCGAAGCTCGGCCAATAAGACGGACCTGGTCGCT